ATATAGTGTGAAATAAACGAAACAGTGTTTTTTTTCTTTTCTGTGCATGTTTCCGCTCGTTGTCTTTATACACAAATTTACTGAAAAATAACGTGAAGAGAGGAGAACGAAGAATTCTTCGTTCTCTTTTTGTGTAAAGAGAACGATTGGAGAACATACGCACAGAAAAGGAAAATAGCGTGTTTCATATATTTCACACTATATAACAGAGAAAAAACGTTAGAAAGAAAAAAATTTCATTTCAAAAGAAAAGAAATGATTTTTGTCGCAGTTCTATTAAAACGTAAACGTTCTTATATCTTTTAGATTATTTTATTCGAAAACGACTATATAAATATGTCTCTATGTATAACTGATATTTATGAACAGAAAGAATACAGTTCAGCTTTAAATTGTGTTAGATTGTGGAACGGATAATAAAAATGATAATTTGTTCTACTCTGTACATAGAAATGTATCCGATTTTTTTTCATTCAGCAAAACCAGAGAATGATATTGATCTAAATCTACCCGGAGACTTATTTTTGACGATTTCCCTTACATTTTGACAGATGCAAGTATTTGCATGGATCATAGCTTCGTTATCCGTTTCAAAAAAGAATGGTTATGATAGTTTTCTCAGTGACTTTTGAAGGAAAACAGATAGAGGCTTAGAGTAATAGATAGAGGCCATGTACAAAAAATGTTTCGAACGTACATTTTTTAAACCTGTCTTGATATAAGAAGATGCTTCAAAGCCTTTGCAATCGAATGACGGCAATTTATTATTTTCTCATCAAAACTTTATCCAAGCGCACCTAAGATCTTACTACTGATACCTGGCCCAATACATGCAAATGCAAATACGTTTTCTGATTTCTGATTGGGCTGTGCACTTAATTAAAAGTTTTTGTTGTGGATTAACGTGTTCCCACATACTCTATAATTACTAGCGAAGAAAAATTCGAATCATACTCAAAGATGGACAATATTATAAAAGATTCAAACCGGGAAGAGCTGTATCATATTATGAAATCTGAACAAGGATATTATCTCATAACATTATTTGAGTTTGGCGAACGAGAAAATATTGATCTTGAAGACGCAATGCTACAATCAGTCGTTAATGGTAAATAAATCTTTTTATGGTTTTATCTTAATTTGAAGGAAAATTTTGTTTAGCTGGAAAATACATTTCATCAGAAGACAAAATGCAAATGACAGAAATGAATTTGGCTATAGCATGGAAGAAAATTCAACGAGCACGTACCAGAATATTAACAAACAAAACAATAGTACATTGGAAAGTATGTGCAAAGAATCTCTGCTGCGTATATCATTAAAGAAGTATTTGTTTTTATTATTAAGGACGATGACTTAGATGCCTGCTTGGAGGAGGCATTATGCCGTGGTTTGTTTGACTTTGTCGAGTTATTGCTTGATTTTGGTGCTTCATTTCAACGATTAGAAAAATTCTGTGATATAAAAATACTGTACAAAGTAATGACTGAAGCTGTAAGTAGTAGCAAAATGTTTTATCAGCTACTTGGTTTGTTCATTCGACTAAGCTTTAGGGAATGACTAAATGGTTGCCGCATCCAACAAATCTCAGAGATCCAATGGAGTGGTATAGAAGGTATATGCCAACACAATACGCGGCTAAAAAAAAAGGATTACAGGTAAACAAACGTCGTACACTCAGTAAAACTTCGTTGTGTAGCAACAGCTAAGGCATTTATTTTACGGCCTTTTAATTCTATTTATTACACTAAATGATGTTCCTTTCAAAAAAATGCTCGTTTATCATGAATTCGGATTCACCATATAACTTTTTTCCTATGAAAACATCGACATTTAACATCGGTATCTACTGTCGCTGGAACTCAAACAGTGATGATTTTCATTATCATTTTCAGGTTCCGAATAAGTTGTTAAGAAAACAAAAAGACATTACAATGGATAGCATGAATAATACAGGATCATGTAAGTGAGTAATTTAATAAGTGAATAAAACATTTTCAATCAATATCGCTTTTAGCATTAAAAATAATTTCTTTTTACATTTACACAAAACGAACTATGTTTTAGGTTTATTTATGCAAGAACTACTCTTATGGTCCGTGTTCACAAATCAACCAGATATAGCGGAATCAATCTGTTACCGAACGAATGTAAGTGAACCACATTTCAACAACACATGGTCACTGTAAACAAATGTATCATTTTAAGAATCCGATTGTAACATTACTATTCATCAGCAAGATTTATCGTACAGCTTCTCGCACACCACGCTTGAAGTCAGAAAAGAAAACAGAATATAAACAAAAGGAAAAGTAAACCAAAATTTCTTGATAGTTTTTAGACATTTGAGACTATTAACTATATTTTGTAGAGACTTTGCACAACATGCTGCTGCTATTGTCGACAGATGTTTTGATGTTGACGAAAAGTTCGCACTTGAACTAATTAGAATACCATCAAAAGACCTATTTAACAGAACTCCGCTGAAATTAGCACAAGAAATTAATTCTAGAGCATTTATATCGACGAAAACTGTTCAAAAGTACGTTGATGAACAATGGTATGGAAATATTAATGGGGATGCACATCGTTTCGTTGATATTTTGGTAAGAAAGCTACCTTTCGAATATCGTTCTAAAGTTCATTAGAAGTACCATTTACTACTTTTTGGAATAGGTCCTAAATTATTATTTATCTCTTTTTAGACTTTTACTACCTGTATATTTCCGTTTCTTTTGCTTATTCCAAATGTGTGTGACTCCATGTTACATCCACCTAACAAGGTAAGAAACTAAACTTATTGTATCTGTAAGTTACTTCTATGTCGGTTGACTTATTTATAGAATAACAAATCTTCCAGACACAAGTAAGCTATCAACAAAGTACAGAGTAATTTATATCAGGTGATTGTCTGTAACATTGTTTCTCCTAATTAGTTTAAATGACATTAACAAAATGGCGTGGTACACAGAAATTACTCAAAAATTTAATCGATTTCATCGAAAAAATGCAATTGTGAAATTTTATAACAATTTGGTATCTGTGTTTTGAACTCATTTCATACTTTACTCATACCTAGCCAAGTCTGTCCATTTCTAAAACTTGCTAGACCTCTATATGAAAAGTCAAATGAGTGTCCAGAAGTTCTTCTGTGCCAGAGGTATCTGATAATATTGAAATTCAGGATATTATCACAAGTACAAGTCATTTGAATCAATCCTAAGTAATCGCTGCCTATGTCGATTTTTTTCAAGATGTTTGCAGAAGTATGCGTTTTTTGGCACTTTTTAGGCCACACGAACGCAACGCCAGGAAAAGCATTATTCTTGTATGCGCTGTATTTTTTCATACAAAAATGATCGATAGATTTTTTCTTTCATCGCAATCTTTTTTTGTTCATCATTATACCGTCTGTGTTTTTCCAATACAATTTTTGCAAAAATTCTTTTTGTTGCTGAGCCATTGCAACGAACTATCGTAGCTATTGTATAGTTTGAAAACGCAGTATTTGCAAGGTCTTATTAGGGGTGGCACTTTCTCTTTCTTTTTCTTCAGTCGAAAACTGGATCAAGTGATGTATTTTGCAAAAAAAACGTTTTTCGGCAAGTGTTTGCAAAACGCATCACTTGATTCGGTTTTCGACGCCGACCACAATATGAGCTTGGTTTTGCAATAAAGTGTTTTCTTCATCGAGAAAAACACAAAAGAAAGTTATATCACACTTTTTTTGGAAAAGGAAAGTGGGAAAGTAAAAGACTTTCCTTTGCCAAAGAAAGAAAAGCTAATATTTCCTTTCCTTTCTGTTGGGAAAAGAAAGAGAAAGTGCCATCTCTAGCCGCTATGCCAGTAATATTTCCCATAACACTTTTTTCAGTCAACCGGCCGGTCCGGTTCCAACTGTGATACCGGTTACTCCAGCGGTAAAACTCACATGAGAGAAAACTTATATTTTCTACTCACACTCTGTGATCCTATTCTAGCCTTTTATCGAATCAAATGATAAATATCAGTTTTGAACAACATAGATTAATCTACTAATTTGTAAACAAACAAAAAATAGTTTTGTTTCCATCTGAAAGGTTATTCACTACTTAGAACGCTAATAAGTGAGATGATGGAGTGTTTATGAAGGGCTCTTCACTTGGTTGGAATTTCTTTTTCTGTTATTTATGATGTTTTTGCATCGTTTTATGATCGTCATACAACGGATTTATGCATCAGAAACGACGATCATTTCTTGCGTTGTTTTATTTTTTGTTTCTGTAAAAATAATGCATAAAAATTAAAGCATATGATGTTACATGTGACATGGAAATTTTACTACAGATTTCGCAAAAAAAACGATCTTGCTAAGCAATTTTTTGCCTTAAATATCTCGCAAAAAATCGACATTCTTCCATTTTCGTTAGTGAAAGCAGTCTAAATCGGCAGTTTTTACAGGGTGGAAGACCACACTGCGGGCCATCTGCGTATATAGGAAATAAAAAGATCGCTATTTCAAGTATCGAACAAAGACTTGACTTTCAAATTTATATTGTTTATTATAAATTCGTGGAGGAATTAGAAAGTAGTAGCTTAAATCAAACCGGGAATTGTAGTCATTTGTAACGCTGTTTGATCATTGATACATTCAATACCATCTGTATTAATTATTCTACGAACGTTATGACTATCAAACTTGTTTTAGTCAAGATCTCTCGTTAGTGCACATTTTTTTTCTCTTGAGATATTTTATATTGGATATTTGGGTGTGTACAGTTTTGTGATACTTTTTAATTATTTACCGTTAAACGTAAATGGTGGAAATCGATCTGGCTTTGGTAGTCTTTTAATACCTATATCAGAAATTGTTCTTCATCTGTGCATTTGGAGTTTATTGCTTGAAGAAATTCGACAAGTATGGGATCTTAAATGTTTTTTCGAAAATAATCTGGTAAACTCAAAAACCAACGGTCTTTTTTAGGTAATTGACCATCGGCAGCTATATCAAAATGAAAACATTAGTAGTTTGAAGATTGTTATCAAATATTTTACTAATGATTTATGGAACTGCTTAGATTTTGTTGCTTTTCTTCTCTATTTCATTGGGTTTGCAGCACGTTTCGTTGTCGATGAACAAATGTTTATGGTTTCTAAGTGAGTAAATCATTTCATCTTCAATTGCGTCATAAAAACTTAAGTTTCATTTTTTTATAGAATTTGTATGTGCATAAATTTAAATATTTGGTTTTTCCGAATCCTACACATCTTTTTTGCTTATGAACGGCTTGGACCCAAACTGTTATTAATAACAAATACAGTACGTGTAATTTAATATTACATTCTTCAATTATTATTCGTCTATTTTTAGATGAAAGATTTGGTCTTTTTTGTGTACTTTATTCTCATATTTTTATTTGCCTATATGGTTACGTCGTTTTCACTTATAACTACGAGGCATCAAGTAAAATGGAAGGGAAAACATGATTTTGAGATTACACAAAATGGAACTAATTTCTTTGATTGGAAAATGCTACGAGATATAGTCGACTGGGGCGCATGGAAAGTGTATGGCCAAATTGATATGCAGTTAGAAACTAACGCTGGCAATGGCACAGAAATAAAAGGTTAGAACTGCATTTTTTATTTGAATAAGCCAAAGTTTCAAATCTATGTCACAGATGTTTCTTTTGTTATTTGAGGTTTAGATCTGACTATGCAGTATTTTGCTGAGTGAAAGTTCAATAATGTTTTTCAGGTTGACTGTTCTTTATACCGGATTTTCAATTCGAAATGCAGAGGGACGGAAAGCAGCTGTTTGACAGCCCCTATTTCCCACTCACAGTTTTCACATAACAGAAGACTGGCCAAGAAGCTTTTTGTTTACAAAATCGTAAAGCCTTGTCCGGGCTTTTTTGTCAACACCAAACCAGAAGGGCGTAACATGAAATTTTTTAATTTCTACTTTTATTACAGATTCTGAATCTACACCAAAAACGGGGCCTCTTGACGGAGTTATAGAACTCACAAAAAGATGCCGAGAAAACCGTCAAAAGTGACATATCTGTTGTTTCACTCGTCAATTTTTGTCTGAACTCTTCGAGCGAGGTCTCATGTGAAAGAGTGCAAGAAATTCTATCAGGATATGTATTTGGTATTCAAAAACACATCAAGCTCCATTTTATAGAAGGCGATCACTTGAAAAATGATGGTTGTTCAGAATTAAATTTTTGGAGTATTTTTTCCAAGGGAGAAATAACCTCCAATTTTGCTGCACACACTTCGAAGTGTCTCTCACTTTGAGTGACACTTCTTCCCTTGAAGTGACACGTACGAGGGAACTTTGCGATGTATCTCCTTCCGATTCCAATGATTTGTACATGGGCCTATAGACCTCAGTGAGGTAGTAAATACACTAAAAGGACTCATGCGCATGACTCTTGAAGACCCGGTTTTATAGAAAACTAGTTTTACAGAAACTCTAAAAACATAACCAAAACCTTTCTTAATGAGTCATGATTGTAACCCACACAATTCTGATTAAAATGAGACGTCTCCCAGCTCTAAGCGACTTTTCTTTGCAAAGTTATAGAATTTACAAGAAAAGCCTCAAATTAATTTCTTTTTAAAAACTGTAGCTTTGAGCTGACAATGGATATTTAGGGCTTTTCTTGTACGTTCTATCGCTTTGCAAACAAAGGTCGCGTAGAGCTGGGAGACATCTCATTTTAATCAGACATTTCCGGACTACAATCATATTTTATTAATAAACGTTTTGGTTATGTTTTTATAGTTTCTGTAAAACTGGTTTTCCATAAAACCGGATCTTCAAGAGCCATAGGTACGAACCATTTTAAGGTATTTACTACCTCACTGAGGTCTATCGATCCATGTACAAATGATTGGAAACGGAAGGGCAGACAACAAAGATAATGTCAATAACAACATCTCTATTACTATCGGCACTAAAATTCAATGCACCCTATTGTTTTTCGAATAGCTTCGAAGTGATAAATGATAGGGACTTGCGGTTTTCAACAATCGAAAGAAAACAGTTTAACCTATGTTTTCATAAGCAAAAACCTTTTCCGAGACTATTCGGAAGAAAATCTTTGGGAAAGTACTTCGGATCTCCCAAAACTGAGATAGCAATCTATCAGTTTTTTTCCGTAGATAGATAGTCCAAAGTGTACTCTCCAAAATGCGAACTGAGTAAGCTCTTGAGTTTTCCCAGTTCAGTCGTGGCATCAAATTTCCTGAGAGTCATACGATCAATATTTCTTTAAATGTGATAATTACGAAAATAAAGGAAACATAGGTAATCAACCTATCCGAAGTGCTTTTCCAAAGATCTCCTTCCGAATAGTTTCGGAAAACGGTTTTGCTTATGAAAACATAGGTTAAATTATCTTCTTTCGATTGTTAATAATCGCAAGTCCCTATCATTTATCGTTTGAATCTATTCGAAAAACAACCGGGTGCATTGAACTTTGGTGCCGATAGGAGGTATATCCGACTGTTGGTTTTTAACCAAAGTCTGATTCCTCTTACAGCAAGGTTCTAAGTCCGGATCGCGATTTTTGGCAGAGAAGAGAAAAACAGTCAAAAAAGCATAAACTATAATAAACTAATACCACGTTCGCTCTAAAACTGACTCACACTCTTAGGGTGCCACTTCGGTCATAAGTGCACACACTTGAAGTAAGATTTATCCTCCTTGATTTTTTCTCGGCTCATAGACAAGGCCCTAAGCTACAGTTTAGCGGATCCTGTAGAATGTTCAATGCTCTACAAAATGAGTTACAAAACTTTGTCATGGATCTCAGCAACAGGCTGAGAAATGCCTGCAATAGTGTCTACCATAAAAACAAGTCGCTGTCAGTTTTTTGAAAACAAACTTTCTATAAGAAATGAAGTGCGCTGATACAATGCAAGTGTTTACATGTCATTAGTTACGTTCAAAATAATCTGTTGAGTATCATGTTTTATTTCTGGATGTTGAACACCGTTTCGATTTCAAATCAGGAGTGCAACGCTTATCTGGTGAGATAGGACGATTTCGTAGAGACTGCTGAGTGGAACTGCCTACTTCACCAATGCCCATGTCATGTCTTAATTTATTTGCTTGAACTTTCACCATTGTCCTTCTTCTTTCTTTACTACAACGCTTATATATCAACATAGGCCTCTTTTACTGAAGACATTTTCTTCAGACTCACAATACTCTCAGACGGCCATTTCATGATGCAGTCAAGGCATGTGTTTTTGTGCCGCCCCATAACTCCGTCAAAATAGGTACTAGAAGACTAAAAAGTTTTTAATAACTCCCGTTTTTGATGTAGACTCAGAATCTGTAACAAAAAAATAGGAGTTAAGAAATTTCATGTTACCCTCTTTCTCGCTAGCCTGCCAAATTGTCTGTCTCTTAAGGAGTTACAATTTTTTTGCTTTCTCTTTACCAAATGGAGGCGTGTACATAGCTCCGAAAAAGATTATCTTTTTCATGTTATGAATTCTTAATTAAAATCAGTAACGGCATCGTCATCTACATGAAATGTTGCATTGAATTACATTTCTTGTAAAATAATCGATGAAATCTACTTTTATGCAAAAAGAAAGGCGACATTAAGCGTGCTGTTTTCGGTGACATGATAAAGAATTTTCGCTTGATAGACGCTCATGCCCGTTTTAAAATTGCTGAAGCGGTTATTTCTATCTTAATGTCGATGAATCTATGTTCAGAAGAGAAAAAGCTAACATATGTGGCAGAATAACTGTCACCCTTAATATTTCGACAATAATTCAGTGTTTATCGTTCAGACTTAGGTTTTTTCAAAGACAAGCACACAATTTAGTTCTCTACAAAAATATCTGAAAAGCTTGTTTCTACAATACGACAGTAAAAAAGATACGAAAAATACTAAGAATCTCTGAAATCGATTTTAAAAGGTTTCGCCCTATGGCGCGCCAAATTTAAGCTGTTCTTAACCGAATTTATAAGGCCTTCTTCATTTACATGCTGTTTATACAATCGTTGAAAAAAGTCCCAACATTTACAGAAAACGAAACGAGAGCTGCACCTTTCAGCATTCAGTATAGAAGCATCTACAGATAAATATTTTTATGAAATTTGAGAGACCCCAGGTGCAAATAGGTGCAACTATTTGTATTAAATACTTTTGTAAGTTCGGCATGTTTCTTCCAGAACTTACTTATAGAACAGTTATAACAACCATGCCAAATGACAGCTCACAGAGACCCAATTGGTTTCGGCCTCTAATAGCCCAAACATCGACGTTTATTACTCTCTAATTAGAAGCAGAATATTTTTACATCACTTATTTTCGAAATGTCCATCATCTGCTCCAATATGGGTTGGTGTTTTGGTAGTTAATACTACGGTAGTCTGGATAACCAGTGTCCGTCACTGATCAATCGAGATATATACATTCTTTTTAATGGTGATTTAACCGTTTCTTTTTCTCGAACAAGAAGGAAATCGCCACAATACATAGTCCCCATTATACCATCCTTTACTTGAATTATCAAGACTCAAAATCAATTTTTGCGTGAAACTTCTATTGAACAGACGAACTTGATCTATGAGATTGATTGTTTATCGTAGCGAATTAACTAATACTCCTTCCTTTCTCAAAACTGCACACTGAATCATCCACAGTTTCAATGTCCTGACAGATTCAGGTAGCATGCATACTGGTATACAGAATCGTTATAATCATAGTTTTTGAGAGTTTGATGGCTACTGTAGGTAGAATAGTGCTCGATGTTTTATCAGCTTACATATGTTTTTAACCAGATATGATGCGATCATAAATTTTTGCATTTCTGTAACGGATAAGACGAGCCGTAATGAATCTAAACAAATTATCTTAAAATATGTTTTAGTTGATAGTGATTCATATGGTAGTATGGCACTAGTGTTAACCATAATATTTGTATTGATAGCTAATGTTCTGTTATTGAATGTCTTAATTTCACTTTTTAAGTATGTATTCACACTTGTATAAATAGTATGGTACCCTATATCATACATACATCTTTCTGTCAGCCTCACTATAGAAAAAGTTCATCAAGAACCTCATCAGTCCTGGTGTTATTATCGTTTTCTATTGGTGAAAGACTATCGACATAAGCCATGTTTGCCGCCGCCATTCAACATTTTATATTTAATTATACAACCGATTCAATATCTGAGAAGTTGTATCAAAAATTCGAACGTGAAAGCGAAAAATAGACCAGAACGAGTTCAACCAATATCAGAAGGTATTGCTAACTAAGTAAAATTCTTATAGTTTATTTTTGTTTACTTCTGACAGATACGATGCAACAAGACCATGATCGAATTTTACGTGAAATGAGCATTGCAGAAGATTATTGGAGGACAAAAATTTAGAAAATATGAAATGCAGAGGACGGGATCTAGAATCTTGTAGAGAACGGTCCCTCCCCAAAACTTTTAATTTCAATGTAGATCGATAAAGAATTCAATTTTATGTAGTTTTATGTATTTTTTGGGGCTTTGAAATGTATTTTGCTGCAAAAATAAATTATAAATTACCAATGTGACACTGTGTTGTCGTTAATAATTTATTTTCGATAGGAAATGCGGAT